GAGAATTGTAAGGCAGATGAGCTTGCGAGACATGTAACAACCCCTGGAACTTTAGCTAGAAAGGAGAACCTGGGCTTGACTCTAAGCCACAATAAACTACTGTTACGCAAGGCGGCAGTAGAGTGCAACAATCTTAGCTGGGCAATTGGAACAACGTGTATTGCGATAAGAAAGCTAAACTTGCGTCGCACAAGGGCTCTAACATCTCTTCGACGGTAGGATATTGGTGCTGTGATAGGGGTCTGGACGGGCCGTAGTCTGATTGGTGAATATGCAAAGAGAATGGGCCGCTCCGCAAACGATCTCTTTAGAAACTGCTGCGACTTAGCCGATCTGTCGTAATGCTAGCGATCGACTGGTTTGATTGAGGGGCGGAAAGGGACAGATTCGGTAGTATTACAACGGGCCTAGGGAGCCTATGTGTATTTTTCGGGGAGCCGCGTTAAGCTTACCTAACCTAATATCGTAGACAATTTGGTGTTTAATATTTAGCCTGTGAGTAAATTTTATAGTAACGCGTAGCAAATATGCATGAATTCAAGCAGTAAATAATAACTTTAATATTATGTTTATAAAAATGTTATACGTGTAATTCATGTTCAATAATTCAGGATTTTATTAGAACAAATTTAATACGTCTCAATGTTTATTAGTTTCCCCTATATATGTTTCAATGATAGACGGAAAAGCAAATATTTTATGCTCCCCATACATGAAGTGACAGAGAGAATAAGTGGATGAAGAAAAAGAAGAGATGACAAGAAATAGGGAAAAAGAAATGAAATTGGTTAACAAAGCATAAAGGAAATTGGCATTTACAAGAGTTTCCTTCAATATATATAGCACATATATGTATATATATACATAATATAGCATTGTAAGAAGTGCTGGAAAATTCCACAAAAACAAGAGAAAAAAAAAATAAAAAGCATAAAAATATAAAATAAGTTAAAATGGAAATATGTATAATTTACAAGTAAATAAGAATAGCCCGTAAAAATGAAATGTAGTGTAAAATACAAAAAAAAAAACAAAAAAAAATGAATTTTTATATTTTAAGTAAATATCCTTTCATTATACGTTGTTTACGTGAAAATATATAAGGTATACACAAGCATTTCATATTATCACGTAATTTTTTTTCTTCTTCTCTCTTTTTTTATATAAATATAATTTTCACTTCACTTACTTATTTATTCATATACGTTATAATATGTTCAAGTCCAGCTAAAATTTTACAGAATATTTATAGAAGTATAACATATATAATTTTAGAGTATAAATTTCAAAAAATCCATTATTACTAATTATTATTTTGATGGATGAAATGCTTCGTTATATCAAGTACATTTTCTTGATTATTATCGTATTGGGGTTGTTTATCAAATCAAGATTTCTTTAATGTCCACAATTGGAACCGTAGAACAAATTTAATTTTAAAAAACCACAATAATCAGAATGCTTCCATATTTAGGAGTTTTCTACGTACGTTTGTTTTATTTATACGTAAGTGTTCATTTCGTACTACCAAAATTCATTACTAACATTTTCTATGTGAATTCGGAAATTTTAAATGAAATAGCCTTGCAACACTTCTCATACTAAATTATGCCAAAAATAAAATGCTTAAATTTTATATTTTATCTTACTTAATCTCATGACAAAAGAAATGTTGAAATTTTTATTTCAGTATTTTCTTTTGTTACAAAAAAAAAAACATTGGGATCCAGTATCAATTAGACCCACATCACAGCTTAACTGAAATAACCTTCATTTTTCACTGTTCTTCTTCTTCAATCTAAACAAAAAAAAAAGGAAAAATTCAAATTTAAAATAAAAATTCAAAAAATTTCATTATATTTAATTCCAGTTGGATTTTAATGTGGAAAAATGTGATAGATTTTTTGAAATTTTTGATTTATGAAAATTTTATCATCTTTTCATATTCTGGCTTATAACTTTTCTGGCACGTTTGCCTATAATCATAAAATTATATTCTCCAATTTCACAAACAAATAAAATTTATTCTTTCTCCCGCATTGTTAAAAATTTCCTTCGAATAATTGAAATCTTCCAGCAAATCCCAAATTAAATTTATTGTTCTGCATTTTGCAATTTAACCAAAAATAAATTCTTTAAAATATTTGTAACACTATTTATAATTAAATATTTAATTGGATACAACCAAAATTTTCTATAAAATGTTAATTAGATTTGAGACTTATTTTATGTGACGTCATTAAACCGTTTTTGTCATTTTTCATCTCGTTTATTTTAACGTGTGCTTATATTTTTCTCTTTGTTTTATATCTTCATCAAAAATGATATCCTGACATATTTTAGAACAAATTGGATATCCAATTTGTCATATTGTTACAATATATAATCATACATATTTCCATGTATGTATGTGTTATATTATTGCATAACAAATAAAGTAAAAATTGTGGTGGACCTTTTCATATTTAACCGGAAATTTTGTGTTTCAGGTTTTTTTTCTCTCTGTTTTTTTTTTCTAACATTTTAATGATACCATAGTATCAGTATACTTTCATTTTTTGTTTGCAAACTGTTTTGTATATAATTTGTATGTTAAATTTGTCTATACATATGAATAATTTTTCAATTTATAATAAGCACAAGATGTACCAGATTTGAAATTAAATTCTGAGAAGAAAGTTTCTGAGAGGATAGGATTTCTGACTAGTTGGAATGAGTGGAGATTCTCTAATTTCATTTATTCACACTGTATAAAAATAAGTGAACAGCTCAGGTGATAATGTCTTTAACTTGAACATTTTGTCGTCATAATTTAGGACGAACTTTCATTGCAAATATTCATCGTTAATATTTATCGTGAATATTTAAAATGAATATTTGTGGTGAATGTGAACTTCTAACCCAAATATTTGTCGTTTTTAAAAAATTTGAATATTTATCGAGAATATTTATCGTGAATTTTTATAATGAATATTTGTCGAGAATATTAATTATCGTGAATATTTGTCAAGAATATTTTTATAATCAATATTTAATATTCATAATATAATAAAATTCAAAAATTTGAATCTTTATCGTGAATATTTATCGTTAATTGTAGAGAATATTAATTATCGTGAATATTTGTCAAGAATATTTTTATAATCAATATTTAATATTCATAATATAATAAAATTCAAAAATTTGAATCTTTATCGTGAATATTTATCGTTAATATTTATCGTGAATATATATATCGTTACCGCGCTTAACGTTAAAAACATAATTAAAACCGAAAAGAATAGTCATATTTTTGATATGTTATTGTTTCGAAAGCTATTCGCAACTCCTGAATAATTTGACGTAATATATTGACATATAAGCCATATTTGAACTGAACGATATGTAAGAGGTTTATCACAATTTTGACACACCCTATACGTATAATACATGTATCTTTGCAAGCACATTACGTATACATTTGTATAATATTTGAATTTCACCCAAAAAATAAAAAAAACAAAAAAAAAGGATAATAGAGATCATTATATACACAGATGCACATGTATATATACATATGAACTAATATTGACAATATTTTTGGTTTTTTTGTTCAACTAAATTTTTTTTTTTTGTTGCTTTCCTCTAGTTTTATTGCCAATTTCCATATACCATATAGTTAACCGCTTATATTTGTACAGTATATTTGCATTCACATATATTATAGGCCTTGTTAAACAAATTATGAACAAAAAAAAAATATATAGAACGGTAATATAAAATAAATTGTTTTGTATGGGATAGTTGAAACGTGAGACTGTAAAAAAATATCAGTTGAAATGGTAGTGCTATGATAAAAACCAAAATGATGTAATTTAGATATGAAATTTTAATATTGTTATATAAAAATAATAAAGTTCTTAAAAGCTGTATAATATTTATGCTAGTATAAATAATTTAGGACATAATATATTATATATGTATGTATGTATATGGGAAATCATTTTATCCTCTAATGTTTTAGATATTAGAAATGTTAATAAGGACTTTTATTTATAACACTTAGTAATATATTATATTAGTTTTTGATGTTTCTCTGCGAAACTATAAATAATATTATAATCTATTTATATATATAGATGAAACATGGGTTCTTTCTTAATAAATTTTCTGAAGAAAACATCTATAATTTTAATATTTTAAGGAAGAAAAATTAAAGAGATAAATTTCTTGTATTTATAATGTCAAATATTTATATGTAATGTAAAATTCTGCATATAAGTATAGAGGGAGATTGATAGCGTACATACAATATGGGAATAGTTAAATGAATATTATGCACGTTTTGTTTGACATATACATATATTATACATATTTACGTATATACATGTTAAGCAAAATTTTTTGGGTATATGAACTTTCGGTAGCTCGAAAGGAAAATTAAATTTTCGGATTATATTTTAATTGGGACTGTGTTTCTTATATAATTCGGAAATCTTAAATCATTAAAATATTTAAATTATTAAATAAAAAATTTAGTTATACTATCAAGTTGTGGTTCCTATTGAAGAGAGAAGTTCTTGATAAATTTGATTAATTCATAATCAAATATGATTTCAATTTACAAAATATATGTGCAGAAATACTTGCTTTCTCAACTTAAAAGAAATTTCATTTCTAAATGGTTCACTGGTTAGAATGATGACAGAGTTACAACCATTGTGCTACTTCCACCATCTCATGAATCCGGGTCACCGTTGTTTATCAAATTTTGGTCAACACATCAAAACCACCCCGTTTTTTTGAACTATTCGTTTACATATCTAATTCCTTTCTTAAAAATGTCCTCCTATTTACACAAATTGCTCTGATCGCCAAAAATATCAGTGCAATTTTATTAAAACTAATTTATTGCATTGAAACTGTATTAAAATTTTCCAATTAAATTTTAAAATTTCTAAAATTATATTTAATTTTCATTTCATCATCAAATTATTAATATTATTTTTCTTTTCCTACAGGATATTGATTATGATGGATTTCGTCAATTTCTTGATTCATTTCTTGATTGTGAAACACCAGAAGAGCTATCAAAACATTTATTCATATCATTTTTCAAACCACATATTAGTCAACCACAATTACATGCCAAAGCACTTAATCAAATGGCTGCGATTAGTAGTAATACAGCATGTGCACCGGTAACATCACATAATAAAGGTAATACTATCCGTCTATATACATATATATGTATATGTACTCATAATATATATAAATGTGTTATTATAATTGAGAAAATGGGGAGAAAAATTGAGTATTCATTTTATTTTAGTTTGCAATCTTTTTCAAAAAAAAGTATTAATTTTTTTCTTATTTTTTAGCACTTTTCCAAAAATTTTTTGAAAAAAAGTGCTTATTAGTTTCACTCTGTCCGTCCGTCCGTCCGTCCGTCCGTCCGTCCGTCCGTCTGTCCGTGTGTCTGTTTACAAAACTTCTACACCCTTGAAGATAGAAAGCTGAAATATATGTACATAGATCTTTACTAGAAACTTATTTCTGTAGAACAAAATTTTTACCTATCTCCTCCCCTTTAGAAGTTATACTCCCCAAAACCCTAAAAATGGCCTTTTTTAACTATTTGTTGCAATGAAACCATAAGCATTTTTGAAATTTTGCAAACGCAGAAAAGCAGCGGCTTGCTTCCCCTAGCGCGGCATACTATATTTGAACTTTAGAAAAACAAAATGGCCGTTCAAATTTACCGTTATCTAAAGTCCTTTTTTTGCAAATTTTTGATGTCGTTTTTTTTCCAAACTACAGCCTGTAGAAGCTTGAAATTTTAGGAGCTTTTAGACATTATCAAATAGTTCATTTCGCTAGAAGAAAATTTTTTTCCATCTCCACCCCCTCTCAAGTTATCGCTTCTTGAAATTTGTAAAATTTGAATTTTTGACACCTTATATTTCCGAAACCGCAAGCTTTTTCAAATTTCTATTAACGCAAAAAGTTAACGGTAAATTCCATGAAATTAAAAAATATAATTATTTTTCTTAACTCACAAAATTAAACCTTAAAATCGAGCATTATGTTAACCCCACTTTATAATAATTTTTGCTTTATTTCAAAGACTGCATAAATCATTCATCCTAAATATATGCAACCCTAGAAATAGTTTTGTATATGAATGAAAATAATTTTAATAGTGTGATAGGTACATAGACTACATAGACTGTATTTAAAAGCAAAATTTTCATTTGTTGAAGGGAAAAGTGCTACAATACAAACCATTGGTTTGACCCAACTTTATTTTTTTTAATTTTTAATTTATTTAAATGTTCTTTAATTTCAATTAATTTGAAATGTATCAATTATTTATATTTAAAAAAAATTTCTATATATGTATGTGTTTGTGTGGAAAAATACTATGATGAGAATTTATTTCTATATATATATTTTTGTTTTTAAAGTTAATTCTCTATACAATATTTACTTTCATACAACAATACTCTTTTTCATTCTCTTGCTCGCTGTTCGTTCTTATTGTATAACAAATATACATGCATACACTTTTAATGTGATTAAAAATATGAAATTATTTCACTAATTGTAATTGAATTCTCTTTTTTCCTTTCCAATTATTCTACATATATATATTTGTATATATATATATAAAAATAATATATAAACATATCATCCCACATAACATTATGGGATTATCAAAAAACTATAAAATAAAAAACGAAAAAAAAAAAAACAGGATCAATTCCTAGTATAAATAATATTGTAGAAATATCATCACCATCACAGAATGCTGCTTCAAGTGAACCACGGCAAAGTTTTGTTGAAAAAATTCATGGCATCACAGATAAATTACAATCGTTAAGTCATTTAGGAAGTCATACAGATTTTGGGAATGAAACGAAATGTAAAGGTAATTTTTATTTCTTAGGGCACATTTTAAATTTTTAAAATTAATTTTAAATTGAAGTGAAAATGTAGTGAAATTTTTAAGGGTATTTCCAAATTGTACTCGTTGCAAACTTGCTCACTCTTTTATTTATGTATGAATACGATTACTGTGACTAATTGATATGTCAAACCATTTCTTACCACTTCTTAAAAAGAGACGAATTACACTAGTTTTTTAAATAGTTTCTCTCGAACTGAATGCTTTTGTGTATAGAATTTAAGTATGGAGCATGTCACGAAACACCGAAACACTTTTACAATTCCCGCACCTCCATTGAATTTTTTAATTGATATACAAATAATTTCTCCTTTTAATATTTTAACAACATCCGCAGAATACAAAATACATGTGACGCTGAAGCTGACGACCGAATGAGAAACCCTTACTTATCTCTTATATGCAGGTTCCCACTGTATACAAAATTGTAATGTACAAAATTACAACAAAAACAGTTATTTTAAAAATTTATCCATATTATTCAATATATTTGAAACTTTTCTATATAACGGTATATAAATAGATTTTTATTTAAAAATTCTTTGAAATTCAACAAAGAATTTTCATCAGAATTTTTTTTTTAAAAAACCTAAAAATTTTCCATTACCTAAACAATATGAATTTTTATTAATGTATTCACGTATATGCGTATATGTACATAAGCAGGCGTAGGTTTATAAGTATATTTGGTATGTATGTTTGTGATATTCGAATTATGCTTAAAATAAACTTGCATATAAATCTTTGTTTTACTCTTAAATTCTCAATAATTTTTTGTTATTGAAAAATTTTTTCCTTTTTTGTGCATCAACTTTGTTTAATCATTTTAAATTCGAAATAATAAATTTTGATTTTTTTTATAAAAATTTTGAATTGAAGCTCTTTTTCAATTTAGAGACCGCAGTAAAAATAAAAATGTTCAAATCAGTCTCAGTTAAGCTCCAATTAGTCCCGTTACAATAGGAGCCGTCTTTGGTAAAAAAGAAACAACTTTTGAGATTTTTTTGGTTTTCGCTTCATTCGCTTTTGGGCTATACTACCATCGGCCGGCTGATAAGCAAGAATATTTAAATACATGTTCATACAGTAAACGATTCCTTCAAGTCCTTCATAGCAAAGTCAATTTTACTCTATTTAAGCGTAGCAAAATATCTTGCAAAATATTTTTTTTATAATTTCTCGAACAAATTTTTTAGTATGCATCAACACTGCATATTTGTTGTTAACAACACGTAGCAAAAATGGTAAGAGTTCAGTGTGACCAGCATATATGGGCTTATTATGCTCTAGCTACATTTGTGACCCACTGATTAATTCAAGTAACTTTAAAAATCCGGCAACCTGTACTTTCGCCGGAGCGAGTACGTAGCTTTCCAGTAACTGCATTTTCCCCAGAAAGTGCGCTGAAGTTTCCTCGTCCTCCTTACAAAATCTGTAAGTGCTCACACGTATCAGGTTCAGTCCTCTAAAGTGTTTCTTTAGTCTATAATGCCCGGTTGGTTATTGCCCAACCTTATGATCTTAATAAAGCGCCACTGGTCGTAATCTCCCAGAAACTCACTGGTCTATCGAAGTCCTAGAAAACCCCTTCAGCGCTCCAAACGCCGCCTCTCCATTTTCTTTTTTAATCCCTCACGAATTTAGTTCGATTCCGCAGAAACGCTCAGGCCAAAGAGAAGTGTCCTAGCCCCCTTTCTCTCCAACTTGTTGGCCGTTTCATTTCCAACCACGACTACATATCCGGGTATTCAACACAGCGTAACCCAGTTGCATCTGACCAATTCGTTGAGCCCCTCGAAACAAACCCACACTGGCTAAAAGAGATACTAAAAATTAATTCAGCGTTTTAATCGCAGTTAAACTGTCCAACATGATTAAGACTTCCGGACGTGCCCTAAAACCGAGATAACGGTCACCGTCCACGTATATGAATCTATCATGCCACACCTCACCAAAAGTTATGTGGTGAGGTGTGGCATGATAGATTCAAAAGTGTGATACCCAAAAGTTTGTTATAAGCGATCATTGATCGTTTAATGTTAAATTATCATGACACGAGTTTGTATATGAAGTGAACTATTCATACCTACCTTACATAACTTCACTTTTTTTCTTAATTGTATTCTAGATTTTCACTATGCTTCCCCAACAAATAAATAAGGAAAAGTATCTATATAGTGAGGGTTTACAATTTATTTCATAGAATTTAAAAACTTAGTTTTATAAAGTTTTATATTTTATATATAATTTAAAATAATTTCATTTATAATTTCGTATATAAGAATAATTGTTATACAAAAGTTAAAAAATAAAATGCAACAATATTGATTCTGTATAATAAAAAATAGAAATAAAGTGTAGGAACACAACAATGGTATATCCTCATTCTCTAAGCATTGGAAAAAATTTTAATGGGGTGCTGTGTTGTTATATGCTTTCAAAATATTATTTGAAAAATAAGCATCCTCAGTATTTTTTATAAAATTAGAAAAGTTTTCGTGGTTTCTTTTCAAAAAAAAAAAAAAATTCTCATAAAACTATAAAATTTTATTTAGAACAACTTATATGTGATTCTTTATTTTATTTTTTATAAAAACCCCGGAAAGGATTAAATTTAAACTATTATAATAAAAATTAAAATGAATGTAGACCACCATATTGAGGTAGACTTGTTTCTAAGTAGCTTTTAAACTTTTATACAAAAGACTTGTTTTTTTTGTTTTGCATTCCTGGCATTTTTTATTTCTACCACACACTTATTTATTACTCTAGCTGTTAACTGAAGTATGCTTATTTAGATGAATATTACAGAATTTTGTATAAAAGGTTTGTACTTTTAAAATTTTGTATTATAGATTGAAGATGAATATAAAATTAATTTATGAACTCTACTATGTATAAATTAAAACTTTATTTTACGGCTAATTTCAATCAAATATACTTTTATATGTGTGTATAAATTTAATTTTTAATATAAAAGTTTTAAAAGGTTGAGGAATATACCTAGAATTTAAATTATTAAGCTACTTGTTTTTTTTTTTTTGTTATAAAATTGTTCTATGTTGCGGGAAAAATACCGCATAAATTTGGTATATCAAAATAATTTAAATTACTTAGATTTTTTAACTGGAATACGGAAAATATAGAAATTGATCTAATTGGGTAATTGAAATAAGATTTTGTTAAAGAGCTCAGAAAATTAACTTTTAAGGGTTCAGAAAATTAGTGGAATATTTGAAAATTTTCTTTATTATTTGATTTGCAAAACTATTTTTTTATTATTTGTTTTTTTTTTCTTCTTTTATAGGTAGCGTACATCCAATGGTTACGGTAACACCTAGCCCACTTGGTGGTCCAAGTAGTATATTACAAACAAAACGTTCAGCTGAATCTAGTCCATCACATTCACATAGTCAAAATCATTCACAAATGTCAAGAAATTCATCGAAAAAAAGTAACAACTCGGTTAATTTAAAAAATGAATGTAAGTATACATATTCGGCAATACTACAATATTTGATTATATAAGTAGTAAACAATAAATTTATTAAAATTAATACATTTTTTTTCTTTAAATTTTTACTTCAATATTATTTTTAGTGGATTTAAAAATGATGACACGAAAATTATCATATTTTGATCCTTTATTACTTAAAGTTCCTTTAAAAGATGTTGTTTGTTATTTATCGTTATTGGAAGCTGGACGACCAGAAGATAAGTTGGAATGTAAGTGTATTTTGTTTTTCTTAATTGGAATTACATTTATTATTAGGGGTACAATTAGGAGGTTTATTTTGTAATAAAATTTTAAGTAAGCTGAGAGTAAGTTTTAAGTAAGGCTTTAAGTATTTTAAGTATAAAGTAAGCTTCGACTTATAGGTTTCGTTTGATTTCAAATTTCTAATAAAATCGTCCAAATTTTCTGTTTCATGAGAATTACTTATTAAAATTATGTGTAACTTCTTTCCTATTTTAAGTGTTCTTATTTGCCTTACATAATTCACAATATTTTGTAACAATGACAAAAAAATACTTGATTCATTTCAAAATTCAGAAAAGTAACAATTTTTTCAAGATCATTGATTACTTCTTAACTCAAAAAACCTTATATAACATTCAAACTTATATAACATTCTTCCTCTTATAGAGAGAACATTATTTCGTTTATTTTTCTAATTCTAATGGAGAGTATCAACTGTTCTTAAAATGGTTATAATTGCTGTTATTGCCATTTAAAAAAAAATATTAAAATTTAAAACTTAAATAACCCATAAAATTAATATTGTGGCTTTAAAAACTTTAAAAAATTGAAATTATTTCATATATTCGCAAGTACATACACACACACATATACAACATTATATATGGGTTAATAAAATGTCACATAATCCTTTTCTCATAAAACTTATTTACAAAATAAAAGCCAATTAATTAAAATTTAATATTACCATACAACTATATACTACAAGTATAACACATAAATGCTTAATATATAACATTATTTACATACATATACATAAATGCAAATTCATAGGGAATATATAAATCAATATTTCGTTTGATAAAATATATAACACTTTTACTACATTTTCTCATTTATCATGGTGTCTCTTTTTCTCAATTATTCTACTTTTAATTTTTTTTTTTTTTTGTTTCCAACAGCTAAGGACCAATCAATGTCAGTGTTGAAATATTAATGAGTCCTTTTGAACATATATAATCAAAAAAAAACAAGAAAAAAAAATAATAATTTTAACTTTTACAAATTTTTATCCACAAATTCAACCAATTTATATGTAAATGCGTGTATATATGCGGTATAAATATTTATGGAATATTTTTGTATGTGTGTATGTTTGTATTTTTGTAATGAAATCCTGTTGGTGACAGTCAGTTATCATTAATGAAATGAAATTTTTCTCTTGTTTTTTTTTCTTATTTCTTTTTTTTTCCTTTACTATTTTTGCATTTTGGCATAAATATATTTAAGCTTTACTAAAAGTAAAATGAACCCACTTAATTGATACTCTTTTTTTTTTCTATATTTTTTTTTTCTTTCGTATCTTTTACGGAGGAAATAAATTGTGATTACAGTGTTTTTGTTTTTTTTTTTTTGTGTATGTTGAGTGTTCTGAGATATTTTGTTTTTTTTTTCAATATTGCGGTAGTAAGAGCGATAGGAAAATATTGTTTTCTTCACTAAGTATTCTATTGAAACCGGAAATTATGTATTCGAAAATCAAAACGATTTTAAAGACAAAATTTTGTACGATTTTCATTCAATTTTCATTCAAGTTCGAAATTGTTGAATGTACCAAAATAATTTTGCTTATTAAATATTAAAAATACTTAAATTAGTTAAATAATTCTAGCGTACAATTTAAATTTCATCAAAATCAGTTCAGCCGAACTTGAGACGCACGCGTACACACTCAGACCGACAGACCGACATAAGTCTTGCAAACATTTAAAATTAGTTGATTTTTTTTTAAATTTAAAAAATAGTTTGAAACATTTGAAATTTTTTTGAATATCTCATGTACGACAGGAACATTTTCTTTATTCTTTAAACTCAAATTCTTTTCGTGTAATTTCTTCTTACAAACTAAAAATATCTACAAAATAATTGTTAGATATTTCATAGGATTTCTATTTAATTACTTAATTTTCTGATTTAAAAATGGCTTAAGCTATGTTTTCTATTAACTGGGGAACGTTTATAATGATTATTTAACAGAAATTGAGTAATTACGAATACAGGTAGCTACCTATAATGTGCGCCAAATGATTTTATTTCACAAATTAAGTTATGTTTGTCTCATAAATTTATTAGAGGCTTCAATTTCACTAATATTACACTAAACTTTTATCATAGATTTCGCTTTCTTTTTCTTTAGTTTAATTTGAAGCAGACTAAGAGCATATAAGACTTAGAGCTCAGACAACATTTTGATTTATCAATATTTTGTATTTTAACTCTATAGTCGCCAATTATTATTCACATATAAATTATATTTTTTATACAATAGCCTAAAATTGTTAAGACCAACTAAAAATAATTAATTCTCCATTGTTTTTATCCTTTTATATTTTTATTTAGGTATCATATTATTACAAAACAAAAACCTATTTTCTTATACTGTTACAAACACTCTTCTCACATGATATTTAGTCCTTTTTTTTTATGTAGAAAAATAAAATAAAAAAGAAACAAAAAAAATTGAATTTTTTGTTTTTTTTTTTTATATTTTTTTTTGTCAAATTCTCGTTTACTAATTTATATTTTCCTTTCTTGTTTTTCTTTTATTTTCTTATTTGCTTTTTTAGTTATGTTTCGGCTATATGATACTGATGGTAATGGTGTATTAGATACAGCAGAAATGGATGCGATTGTTAATCAAATGATGTCAGTTGCTGAATATATTGGATGGGATGTATCAGAATTAAAACCGGTAATTACAATTATTATAACATATAATATAGTTAATTAGAGCATTTTATTATTATTATTATTATTATACAGGGTGATTCAGTAATCAGTGACATAAAATGTGCATGAAATACAAAATCAAATAATATTTTGCTTCCAAGCTCTATGCTAGCCTTTCCAAAAATTGTTTATTTAAAGCTTGAAAAAAAATTAGTCGTAGAAATTTCGCGGAGATTCCTTAAAATCGCTGTACTGTCAGGGATTTGAGATGAAAGTGGTTTGACCTTTGAGGAAGATTGAGATTTGACATCTAATTCTGAACAAAAATTTTACTCATTTTTGATTTTGATTACTGACACTGATTACAAAATCACTCTGTAGATATAATATTATTATATATATATAAATGAACACATGTAACACATTTTTAGAATAATATGCTTATAAGTGTAAACATTTTTTTGGGTTTCAATGTAAAATTAATTAACAAAATATTTTTTATGATAAATATTATAGGTATTATATAATCATTAATTATTGTGGCATGAAAATTGTTATATGTATACCTCAATGTTCTCACTGTAATACTTACATTACATATAAACATATATATGAATATTAATTAAATAATATAATTGAAGTGAAATTTATATTTTAGTATATAATTATAATTATATATACATATTTGGATAATTTGCGTAAAGATTTACAATCAATAAAATGAGAAAAACAATTTTTTTTTTAGAAAAAAATATATTTGTTATACTTATATATTTATAATGAAATGTATTGAATTACATAAATATGTTTACATTATGTTAAGCACTTGGCACGTGCAAATCTCTTTAATTCAAATAGATACATGCAGAGAGAGAGAGAGAGAGAGAAAAAGAGATAATTGGTATAAAAAAATTTTCAATTTTATTGAAATTTTTTATTTTTGATTTCTCTTTTTTATTTTGATTTGTAAATTAAGCGATTCTCTTTAATTATTCAGTAAAAATTTATAACTGTTATATCTCAAATTATATCTGTTATACATCTCTTTTTTTTTTATTTTTCAAATTCGAAAATAAAAATTTATAAATTAAATTTTTTTTTAATTTTTCATGTCATCTATTTTAAGTTAGATAAGTTTGAATTAAATTTTAGAAAATCTTGAGGCTATAAAAATACAAATCGGCTTTGGAAATGCAAATCTTCTAAAATATATAGTTTTGGACTCTTCTTTAATTTCAAACTTAAAAGTCAAATTAGATAATGCAGTAAAAATTACTCCATTTGCAACATACTGGAAAAAAATTTATTTATTTATACAATTTCGTTGTCATAATAAAAGATTTGTGCTTCTTTCATTAAAAATTAAAAAAATAATAATATTTATTAAAGAAAAATATTAGTCTTGACTATAACGTTCAAATATCTCAATATCTTGCAATAATAAGTTAAAACCACAACATACTGTTACGGCCCACTCTAACAATTTTTTATAAAGTACAATAATTATAAATTATGCACAAAACTGCAATTAAATTTCAAATTTTCAGAATTTTTAATTAATAAACCAATTGTTGTATGCCATTAAATAGGATTTTAATTTTATTATCAATGATTTTTAATTTTCTATTTTAAATTATACGATTATATAATTTTAATTACATGGTTTATATACATATATATACATATATATTCTATAATAGTATCTCAATGATTTTATTATGCATAATAATAAAATTTCAAGTGCAAACCAATCAAAAAGCAAAAAAAAAAAAGAAAATACAAGGATTTTTAGTGGTATACTCAATGGTATGCAATAATTTTAATTAGTGACCATTACCTATATATTTAAAGACGTGACTGATAACATAAATGAAAGGATAACCATTTTAAAAACGTGCTAGCTTTTCAATTAAATTATTAAAAACATGTGGGATTTTTCTTTTATATTACAATTATATTTACATATATATATAATTTATAGTACATAATGTTGCGCTCTTTTACATATTTTTTTTTCTATTTTTTGCATTTAAATTTAATTTTAATTAAAAAAAAAAGAAAAAAAACTAGTAATAAAAACAAAAGATAATAACAATAGGTTTTAATGAGTAATGGACTATAAAATGGAAGAGAAAGAAAAAATTTATTAAATATATAAGAGGGAATTTTTCACAGAGTGTTTAATTACTCATTTATATGTAGTGTATATAGATATACAATACCATTATTATATATAAACAAGTATAATATAAGAACTTTAAGATTCTAGCACGATCTTTAATAAAAAATAAAATTAATGATTTTGTAAAAATATTCTTTTCACATTTCAATTTTACAACTTCTAACTTGAAAATAAAATTTTGTTTTTCAACATGAAAACATGTTTTTTTTTTTTAAATGTAAAATTTTCATAAAATACAGGGTGTTTTATAAATGGAAATTTAAATATGACAAATATTTTAATTTAAAATTTGATGAATATCACGTTTAAGACCATATTTCTTTGCATTTGATATTTATTTGAGGATTAATAGAGCATAGGGTTTAATGATAGTATTCTATAATAATCCGATTAATTATTAAATAAATTAATTAAGTAATTTGTATGCAAAGAATTATAATTCATACTAAATGTTAAAGTTAAATATTGTAAAATTTAAAGTGACTAGATTACATTCAAAATTTAATTGAGCACGAATTAAATAAAATATAATAAAATTTAATGAAAACTTACCATAAGTGCATTTTCTTTCAACGTCTGTAATTAAATTTTCGAAATTATCAACCACTTTTATAAAAATAATTAAAATTTATTTAAAATTTAAAAAAATATTTATAAAAACAATGCTGTATACAAAAGTATATAAAAATATAAAGAAAGATGAACAATGTAATTTTGTCATTGTGACAAAATATGTATTCAAATTGACAATGACAATATAGGTCGAATTGACAAATCTTTGTCTTATTGACAAAAGTTTTAACAAAAATGTTTAACAAATTGAATTTTTTCAATTTGACAATTACTTATTTTTTCAGTGTACAGAAAAATGAAATGAATTCATTAAATCAATTTTTCATTACAAATACTCGTACCAAATTGTTAATTTTATTTGTTTCGCATATACCCTGTATATTTAAAATAATTCAGGTGTATTATATAATAATAAATTATTGGTATATACATATATTCTTATATACATACACATAAGTACATATTTGAAATACAAGTATTTAATATACGTATTTATCATTATTCTTAAATGGAATTTAAAAAAAAAAATAATTTATAGAAATGAACATATTGATTACTTTAATGTTAAGATACCTACATATATGTATAAATAAATGCTCTTCACGTAAATGTTTTCAAATAAAATATCCGTAAACTAATACCTAAGTAATCAATAACAAGTTTTTCAGTTTGGTCTAAAGAAAATCTATAAATAATATAATGTATACATATATAAATGAAATAATTGAAAAGGAAAATCTTGTAAAATCAATTTACATTGAATGAACATAACATCATTGTTGTGTATTAAACTAATATAATTGTATATGTATACACGTATTTAATTTCTATATATGTAAAATACAATATTTTATATGTAGAACAATTTAATAAAAGGATATATGTAAATCTATATAAGGATTAAATAAAATTTAACGAAATTTAATGTAGATTTTCTATTCATTTTAAAATAATTAAATACGAGTATAACAATTACATGACATTACTGTTGTAATAACATACGTATTATGTATACATATATATAAAACATGATCTTTTATTAATACATACTTATATGTTGTATATGAAATTCATTGCAAAATATACTAATGCATTTATATATTTGTATAACAGTATTAAATATAAAAATATATATGCTTAAACATATTATTGAATAATAATATTATATTTTTATATTTTATTCAAATAATAACAATTAATTTTAATTAGAAAATTATAATATTTTTTTGTTTTTATTTTTAAAGTATGGGCAAATTTATTGCTCTAAGATAAAAACTATAAAAGTATTTTTGAATACCTATGTATGTAGGTGTTGACTTTTAATTAAAACACTTGTGAATGCAATAATAATAGAAATTAATTATTTAATTATATTCGAATTCAAAAATCATTATATAAATATTATACTTATGTAAATTATAGAAAAAATGAATTGATATACGTATAGAAAAATTATTTCGAATATGTGATTAAATATTATTATAAAAATAAATTATTTATAAGATAGAGTTTCTTATACACTTGTATAATAAAATAAATAAATTTACTTATACTTATTTTTGAAAATGTACATTAAAATAAAGGAAATTAAACTTAATTATTTTTGTATATTTTAACTAAATTTAAATTTTAAATGCGTTCTCGGGTAACCAGAAAAATTAATTTTATAACAAATTTACTGCATTATTATAGGTGCATAATATTATTTACAAAATTTATTCAATGCACAAACCTATTTTTAACCAGTAAACATTTGTAATATGAATGCAATATAACAATTTGTACATAAATATACATACAATTGCATATTTTACCTAACTGCCACTATTATTCATTATATTATTAAGAATCTCATTCGAGTACACATTAATATTTTGTTATTTTCATATTATGACGTTTTTTTGTTTATAACAAAATCTTATTTTTTAAAGACAAATTCTATTGCTTTCACACGTAATATCTATACACACAATACTCGTATAATATAATTACATTATTTGTCCCACATATATTTAACATATAGCATCTGAACTATATCACACCTACAACATATAAAAATACTTATTAATAGATACATATATAATAATAATTGAAATATAAAAACTCAATTATTTTATGGATGTAAAGTTTTTCCTAAAAAAAAAAAATAATTTATTTATATACATTTATACATAATTGATATTATGTGATCGTGCCTATAATAATATACATATTATAATAATAGATAAATATAACATCATGGTCAATAACTTTTGCAAAGGCTGTTTTTGACGTCACATATTGCTTATTGTGAAATTTTTTCTTTTTTTTTTTAAATCATCATTAAAATTATTATTTCTGGTTTTTTGATTCTGAAATTCATTACAGGGCTGCCATTTTATTTCGACATAAGTAGAGATCTATTTTAATTTCTTTTATTTAATGAAAAAGAAATCTACTGTAAAAATTTATAAAAAAAAATGTATTTTTAAAGTTTGAAATGAGTACAAAAACATAGAAAGCAGTTATACAATATACATACATATTTAATTTACATATTCCTATATTCAAAATTAAAGCAGAAATAATGAATTTATAATTTGAGAAATTCTATTAATAACTCTGCAAAGAATATTTTAAAATGTCAGTGGTGATATAAGTATAAATAACGTTTCAAATAATATTATGTTTCTGTTATACGATTTATATACGTTTCATTATTTAATTATTTCTGTATGACAACCAATATTTCACCATTACCATTATTTCAAGGCAAATTGAACGACATATAAACTTAATCAAACATGAATCTGAGAAGCATAATAATTTATCAAAATTTATAATTACAGCAAAATTTAGACATACAATAAGAATTTTAAATAATTTTAAAAATCATCTACACTAAATTTTTTTTCTGTATTATAAAATTAATAATATTTTTATAATTTCAATTGCACGTTATTCCAATGTACCAATAAATAATGAGAAGAAAATTAAAAATTATTTTTATGTGTTATCTTATCTTGTTTTTACTATGATAAAAACAATGAAAATTTTTAATAGAAGTTTTTCATACACACATTCAAGTATATTTTGCTTTCAATTCTTCTACATGTTTCAATTCTTTCAAAAACATTTTGGGTGAACCTGTTTATTAAAACAATTAAGAAAAATGTACTTAAAATGTACAAAAAATTAAATTTTAAAAGTAATATTTTGGCTAATTTAATTATTAAAATAAGTAAATTTCTTTTAGATTTCATAAAAATTAGTAATCAGCAAAAATTGGCATTCAAATCCTTAAAATTTTGCACCATTAAAATTATCCATTTATCTAATTTTAAATAGTACTATTTTTCGATACCAGATGTCATCATAAATTTAGTTTGAGAAGTACTGTTGCAAATTTATCATTAATTTTTTTTGTTTTTTTGTTTTTTTTAATAACAGATGTCAAAAGATCAGTTCTGACAGTTCACGTAAATTGTTTACTTATGTTTATGAATGCAATTTACATTTTAACGAAATTAAAAAATTATATTTTGTGATATTTTTCTAAGTTGGAAAAATATGTAAATGTTTCATAAAAAATAAATATTTGTGAATATAATTTTCATTTGTCATTAATATTTACTTAAATTGTGTTATGTGTTTTATAATTTTGATAAAAAATTTCATATAATGTGTTTGTATAACATCTGAGCAAAAGAAAAAAAAAATTCAAAAGAAGAAAAAAAAGTCGGCTAAACTTGTGAAGGTAAAATTTTCATTCCGATGAGATAAAATACAAGAAAATTATTTTTATTTTTTCCTTTATTGAAATGAAATGAAATATTGTTTGGTAGCGGTGAAAGTAGATAAAATAATAAGCTCATTTTTAAGAAGAAACCATTTAGAAATGTGGAATTTTGTGAAAAAAAAAAAGAAATCTCAATAGAAAATGATGTTACAAAAAAATAATAGCTACATTGTATGTATGTATGTAGATATCGAATATGATGTTATTTCAGCCTCACAACAAAAAGAAAAATAAAAGTTTATACCAGCCAATATTAGGGCAGATAGCAGAAGTCGGATTTAATTTTAAGCTTAAAGAAAAATGTTAGTATGTATAGATCATTATTTAATCAAATGCAAATAGATAACTTTATGCTTATTTATTTTAGGTAATGAAAAGAATTTAAAACAGAAGAGCAATTTTTAATTTAAATTGCAAATGTTTATTATTTTGAACTGAGAACAATATTCCTACATATTATACAATCTTATGTTCATATAAAACCTAAAAACGTATATTTTCAGTTAAACTCATTTACAATTTATAGTTTTGCGGTATTCTACAATAAAAATATCACATAACTATGGTTTAAATTAATTTCAATTTTCAAAAACGTATAGGTGTCTATCTAGATACAATATGTATTTATTCTTATATATTTACAAAATGATATAAGCAAATATTTTAATATAACGACGGATTTAATGAATCACAATATGCATAAAATATTGTACCTAGAAAAATATTTTTATTAATTCATTAATATTTACCTACAATAACATTTTTGAATATGAATTTTATATATCTAAATGTAGGTAAATCTAGATATTTTATTGAATGAACTATCTGAATAATTTTACTTGGTTAAATTTATTCTATATATATTTTTATGTAAATATGGATAGATAAATTCGTATCTACATAAATTAAATATTAGAATACTATTTAAATATTTTTTTTATACATATATTGTGGGAAAGCTTTAATATTATAATTATTCGATATCTGCTATTTGTTTTTGTATAAAATATCATTCTGTTATTATGTATTACTTATTATTATTGTTATTATTCGGTTCACTTAACATGAAAAAAAATCTATGGTTTTTTATTCAATAAGTCTCAATTATATCAGTGACTCATTATGATTTTTAAATATACGAAATACAAAATTGTAAATTCAAAGTATTTTTGTTATTTTTTTCTATACAAAAAAATTTTCATTATTTTTTCGCCGCTTACGTAAAACGTTAATAAAAACCGGTTTTTTTTCGAGTAACTTATAAATTTTTTATCTAAATATACATATTTGATTAGTACAGACTATAGATATTCTTCAAACTTTAACAATAATTATAATTATACGCAATAAATCAAATAAAATTTTTGGATGTTAGTTATCTATTTTGAGTTTTTAAATTTTGGAGGTGAGATTAATAAAAAATCATATTAATTACAAAAAATATTTTATTAGAAATTTATTTGTTACAATACTACTTAATAATAAATAAGAATATAATACCTTTTTAATTTTAGAATCCACCAATATTATTGTATTTAGAATTAGGTACTTACCTTAATGAAATTGTTTTGAATTGATATTTTCAGTTCAAAATAAGAAGTTCAAATCAAAAATTTAGATACTCGTAACTAATAATTTGAAATATTTATTTTATTTTAAATAATTTTCAATTGATAGAAAAATTTCATTGTAATTTTATGAAAAACATTTGAAAAATTCAATATGTATTATTTTAAGAGAGATGAATAATTTTGTTATTAAAATGTTAAATTTTGAATTTATGCAATTTTTCAAATTATTATAACAACAATAATTGTTGAAATGAAATTTGTAATTTATTAAAAAGAATATTTAAATAATATGTAGATTTTAAATTTTTTTGAGATATTAAGAAATTCCTTATAACAAAAAATAAAATCAGTGAGAAAACATTAGTACTTACACGTGCAAGAATCACAATACAAATATTTCATTTATAATTCAAAAAAAAAAAAAACAAGAAATTCCTCAATTTTTAATTTTACATAAGTATTAGAATTTTTAACAATATCCATTTCAATTCTAATAATTGTGACTTAAAAACCTTTGTATTTAACACGAAATTATTCCTTCTAATATTTTTTCTTAGCTTTGTGTACAAATTGTTCTTTTTTTTTAATATATTCAACTTAAACATTATAATACACTGTTTTCATGCAGCATACTTTATAATATATGTAATAGTATTAAGAAAAACAAAACCGAAAATACAAAAAAAATATGAAAGAGATTATAAAAAATGAAAAAGTAATCTTAAATTTTTATTATGTTTTCAGATACTTCAAGACATGATGGTAGAAATTGATTATGATGCTGATGGCACTGTATCATTAGAAGAATGGCAACGAGGTGGCATGACGACAATTCCACTTCTAGTTCTATTAGGTAAATAATAAAAGAAAAAATATTTAACGAAGACTTATAAAGAATGAGAAATTGTGAAAATCTTTAACAATAACACAAATACAAGAATCACATTTCGTTTTATATACATAATTATTTCTGATTATAATATGTAACGTATAATTTAAGGAGCAAAGAATTTTGTGAGCAAAAAAATTTGAGCAAAAATTAAAAAAAGAGAGAATTTTGCAAAAATGTAAAAATTATAAGAATAACATTAATTTTTCTGTATTGTTAAATTTTAATCAAAAAAGAATTTCGGCTTTGTTTCATCTTAAAATTACAATATTCTGTTATCATTAGCTGATTGTAATTTGAAAAATTAATTTTGTAATTAAAAAAATTATACACTCTACAGATTAGAAATTTTAATTGATGTCATGCCCTTTACGATTGAAAGATTTTATTAAAAAAGTAAATATTGAATTTTATCAATTTTAAAAACAATAATAATAACTTATTCGAGTGTATTAAATTCGACTACACACTTATATTTAAAATTCTAATTAAAATTCTAAATAATTGTAAGATTTCTAATCTAGTTCTAATTAATTTTAATTAATAGTTTTTTGAAATAAACTTTTCATAACATAACAATAACTAACAACAATATTTTCAGATTCCGTCGGTTAAGATTATTTATTACAGATTTGCATAAACTTAATTTGAAAAAAAAAGTAAAAAATTTCAAAATTTAAGCATGTCGACAATTACACTTTCAGTTTTTTTTGTCATATGCTCATTTACACAATATTAGAAAATATTTTCATTTTCTTAAAAAATTTCAATACCTGTGCGAAATGAATGCGCGATTTACTGTGAAATTTATATTATTTGAATTGTAAACATATATACTTATATGAAATTTATATATTTCATAATAATGAATTTGTAATAGAATGAAAATATACCTATACATAATGTATATGTGAATATAATATTAAATAAATAACACGTTTTTTATATAGGTGCTTACATATTATAATAATTTTCATTACGATGAATAATATCAATAACAACAATATATCATTAATAAATTATTGATTATACTTAAATTTTATTTAAGAATATTTTATTTTATTTATTTAAATATCTTATAAAATGATTTTTTTAATCTAATTTTTTTGTTTTTCTTTTTCTTTTACATATTGTTCTTATATGGAAATTCTTCAAATACCAAAAAAAAAAATCTACACTGGCATGACAACGACAATTGAAACATCGTCTCAAATTTTTTTTATTTTTCTTTTTCTTCCATCATTACCTTACATCATTACAATTATCGTCTCTTGATGATGATCGCTTTATATCGCAATCAATGTCATCAACATTGATTTTATACTTAACTCAACTTTGAATATAATTTAATCATCACCATCATCAACATCATCATCATCAACAACTCTCTGAATATAATGAAAATAACTTTTAATACATCAATGGATCCTATTTGAATATTTTTGTTTTTTTTGGGGGGTGTGGTGGTTTTGTTGGTTACATATTTTATGGTTAATTCATCTTATTTAATATATATTATACTTTTGTTGGATATACTTATACAAATATATTGTTTGTATGCTGGATATATAAAAAATATATATATATATATATATATTTTTGGGGGAAAAAAAATAAAAAGGAGTTGATAATACCGCCCTTAAAGAAGATGGTATGCATGTATGGAGACTGAAACATTTTAGTAAACCAGCTTATTGTAATTTATGCTTAAATATGCTTGTTGGATTAGGAAAAAAAGGATTATGTTGTGTGTGTAAGTATCATATTTGTGTATATATGTATATAAATATATACATATATATATTTTTTTATTATTATAAAAAAATAGTATATAAGTTTCAATAAAAAATAATGTATTTGAAACAATTTCAAAAATTAAATGCAAAAGCAAAAAAGAAATCCTTGATTTAGAAAAAAAAATATATAAAGAATAAAGTGAATATATTAATATTTTAGTTGAAAATAAATTACGAAAATTCAAAGAAATTGCATTTAGTTATATAATAAGTTTTATTAGTTATGAAAATTAGATGATTGTTTCATAATTTTTAAGTGCTTACCAAATTAATTTCAAATAATATTTCCAAGATTTTCTTTTAAAAAATTCTGTTATTCTCTACTTTTATTGAAAAATATTGAAAATCTGAAATAATAAATATTAAAAAATCTGATTTCAGAATTCGAATCCAAATATGATAGAAATCAGATTTGTTTCGAATTTAAAATTATTTCAAGATTCTAAATGATCAAATTTTAAAAATAAATTTACATTTGTATTATATAGATGCGTTGGTATACGAAATAGGGCTTGTAAAATATGCATAAACGAATTTTGAAATATTCAATACTAATATATAATTTATTTTCTTAAAAATGGAACACAAAAACACAATGCAATAAAACTACAATCCTTTGTGATGTCATTTTAGAGATTCTTTTAAATATATAAATCACAATAACTATAAATTTTCTTAAATTTTATGTGACAATAATGCCTTTATACTAAAATGAAGATTTAATAAGACAAAGCAATATTAAATACATTAAAATAATTGTTACTGGTTCATATAAAGTGTTATAATTAAATTTATAAAGAAGAACATTTGTGTAGAATATACATTAATATAATGTATATTCTACACAATATATTTAATTACAAGCATTATGTCTTTATAAATATAAAAATTTCTATAAATGAATTATTCGCGAAAAATCGCTTTCTCCTATAAAATATAATAGTTTTGTCATTATAATGCGTAAATTTTTTAACGAATTAATTTGTTAACCATATGTATATAAAAATATTTAGTTTTATCTATTAAATTTTCTACATTTATATGAAACTTTGGGTAGAAAAATATAAAATTAACAAAAAAAAAAATTCTTGTTTTAGAAATTTCGCTTTTTTGTTTGCTTATTTTTTTCTCGAGATTTGTCACGTAACCTACATACAATCAATTTAAAGCTATACACAGAAGAGAGATACAAAAAAAAACATAAGATAAAAAAAAATTGAATAGAAAAGCTTTAAAAAAAAATTTTTTATATATTAATTTACATGAGTATTACAGATCGAAAGAACGTCATAACAAACATATATTACTTATATATTTGTACATACAATATTATAGTTATATAAAACGTGTACAATAAAAAAAAATAATAATCTAAGCATTTCATTATAGCGTAATTTTCTCGTTTGGTTATTATTTTACATTACTGCTAAAATCGAAGTAAATAACATGTTCTTAGAATAACATTTTAGTGTAATAATGAAAATTGTAGCATGAAATTAATAAAATTCCTGACTTATCTAAAATATGTTGACTACAGATAGAAATATTAATAACTTCAACAATTTTATATTTTGATTTCGAGCAAATTTTTTTACATTTTACAGAAAATAACGTTTTCGGGTAATATTAAGGTTATACGTTCCTTTTTGCATTTATTTTTATATTGAACTCTGTAATAAGATTTTAATTTCGAATTTTAATTACGTTTCGATCTTATTTGCGATTGTTTTAGATAAATGATATACAAACACTCCCTTCATACTTGGAAATTCCCACAATCAAATTTTATATATAAATTTGAGTTGCGTTTGCTATTGACTACCAAAAATTCTTTTTGAAAATTTAATCATGAAGTGAGTTCCCAAAAATCTATTCGCGTTTAATAAAAATCTAAATATTTTACCAAATTTGACATAAAATTTTCCTTTTGTTTTAATCAACTGATTTAAATAGAAAAGAAAAATCTAGATTGTTTTACATAATTTAAAAATATAGAATTAGATTTTTAATATTTGTATATTATTCTATTTGCGCTACTATTTAAAAAAAAAAAAAACAAAAAAAGAAAAAATAAGAAAAATTTTTATGATATCCTCCAAGTTCTTAATTTTTTTTTTTTTGTCTTTTGTTTTGGAATTTCATTGAAAAAATTATTCAAACAGGGCACGTATATTTAAAAATATATACAAATTTTATTATTGGGTATGTCTTCTTTTTATTATTGGCATTTACAATAATGTCCTTTTTTTCTCTTCTTTTCCTTAATATATACAATATAAGAATATTATTATAAGAGACTAGAGTTTTAAATAGAAATTTTGTACTTAACAAAATCAAATACAAATGTGTACACTGTTCATATATGCAAATATGAGTGTCGGAAAAAGGAAGTTAAAATAATTATTTGTCACGTTCAAATGGTTTTTGTTTTTTTCGTATTAAAATTTAAATTTGAATTAAATCAGAGTTTTAAATTTTATTTTAGATTTCATTTTTGTTTTTCATGTAAAATGACTGCATAATATGCATTTATAATAATTAAATTCTAATAATTAGTATGCTTCAAATATTTTGGTTTAGTGAAATAAAATTATTGAAATTTAATGAATTAATTTGAAATGCAAAAATACTCCCAAAGGTAAATTTCAAAAAAGCAACACTGTACGAGTATAGGGAATTTTTAATATTTTTAATATAAAAATTAAATTCAACAATATCAAAAACAAATAAATTTATTTAAATTAACCACGTATATGCATGTATTTAATATTGCTTAATATTTACTTCTCAATATTGTTAAGATTTTATATTTTTCTGCAAAAATGTAAATATTTGTATGTTTATTAGCAAAAAAATATTGAAAATAAACTGATTCCAAATTATAGGATATGAGAAAAACCTATTTTTTAAAATTTGCATACTATTTTTGAATTTTGCAGAATTTTAAGATTTTATTTGATAAAAATACATAAAAATTATGCATTGCTTTAAATAAAAATTAGAGTGCTATTAATTTTTTAGAAAACGAGCTATTTTGAAAGAGATTTTAAATTACATATATATTATTAGTATTACACTAGCAGTGTTGCCTAAATTTTTATCGAACTAAAGAGTAGAGTACTAAATTATAATTAGGAATATTAAAATATTATACCATGATATATAGGTTAGTTTATAATACCATGGTATAGGTTAGTTTATTCTATAATAAATTGACTATAATTAATTTTAAGAATAATTAAAAACTAATTTTTAATTTAATTATAATAAAAATTTCTACATATCTATGAATTCTAAATTCAATATTATTCAAAAAATTTTAATAGAAAATTTCTTTAATGCGAATATTAAATTTACTAATTTTATAGTGCAGACAAATTTTTTTTTTATAGCTTTAACCTACTTAAAGAAAATAAAAAAATATTTATTATTACAGACATTTTATTAGTTACTGAATAAATTAAAAAAATAAAAAATTTAATTTTCACTTAAAAAAGAGCAATAAAATGCTTTTCTAATTCTTTTCATAAAAATGCGGTATTTTAGTTCTTATTTAAGTATGTCTAACAATAACATTATTTGTTTAAAGTTTTGCATAATATAAAAATCAAAAATAGGTTTTATTTATTGCAAAAATAAATGTTAGTGCATAATATTATAATTCGCATAGTTTGCTCTCGTTTTGCGCATAGTTTATTCGGTACAATGTAAACACTAAGGTAGAAATTATATAATTTATGCAGAAATTTATAAAATCGTAAAAATAGATTTAAAAAAATATTGCTTATTATTAGGTTATTAAATAAAATAACTTGAATTTTAAATAAATTTTACAAAAAAATTCTATTAGAACAATCGTGTATGTAATTTAATTAAAAAATTCTTCAATTTCTCTACTAGTTTCTATATAATTGAAAAATAATTTATTTTAAACCAGTACATTAATATTATGCTTATACTGTTAAAATGAGCATTTTAATATTCATAATATCAATTTTATGCTACATACTTCCAAATATGGTCTATTCTAACACAATAAATAAATATTATACTAAAAATTTAAAGTTTTTCATGCATATGTTCCAATATTATTATATATATAGGTAAACAAAATGAATTATAAATTCTAAACGCTTATTTATCTTATATTAAAATATTATTAATATGTACAACTAAATGTACTCAACATAAATAAATTTTATAATTATGTAGCAGTTACAGCTACAAGCATAATATGTTATAAATAAGCCCTAACTATACAATATAAATTAACACATCACATAATATATGTGTTTGTCTCTCACTTCAAATTACCTTGTAATTTTGATAATTGTTAAATCAATAGTTTTTATACATTCATATAAATAATTTTGTATAATATATTATATAAGTTAATATCGTCAATTAATGGAATACGTGCCTGATAATAAATTTACCTACATTAATGATTTGTTTGCATTATACAGGTATACACATACAACTATTTAGGTTGTTTAATTTAAAACCTTTTCTATAGGTTGATGACAATATTATTCATTATATAAAATCATTTTTAATTTTGGAAATATTTTGTAACAATGACCATCATTACTGAATATTTAAATAGAAATTTTTCGATGAGAATTCCCTCTACATTAATTACATTGTAATATTTATGTATGTTTTTATGTGATAACAAAATATTTCATTAATTTTACTGCATTTGTTCAATATTAATGAACAAAATTTGGAAAATTTTTCATATACCTATACACAAGATTTCTTTTTATGAACATTAGAACAGTACGTTTATACAATTCCCATATCACTTAAATTTGAAAAGCATTTTAAATATTATAAAAAAATATGTAATAAAAATTATACATATTTACATTCAAATTTTATTGACAAAATTAATTTTTTGAAATCAAAATAGGATTTTTAATAAAATTATTGTTCTAGTAATTTATGTGCATAT